AAAAAAAAAAAAAATAAAAATAAAAATCCAGAAATCACTACTAGAGGGGGTGATAAGAGCAGCTGCCTCTAGTAGTTGTCCCTGGCTGCTCCATCTACTGGTGGGGAGCTGCACCTGCTGCAAACCGGGTCCAGCGTCCCTGTATAACAAACATCCACAAGAATGTTCGAGAGCAGACCGCCATCATTGATTACCCCAGGATACCCAGGGGGATTGACTGAGAGGTTAGGAAGGTTATGGAGACAGAAGTGCCTCTTCACCCCTTGAGCAGGGCACCTCGTCTATCCTGGTGTATCTAGCCTCTTCCATCGCCATGAGTGTATGGATAATATCTTCTATAAAAGGAATGAGTAGAGCTTAAGATCCTTTTGCTGCTAGCTGCTGTCCCTTTCTCCAGTCACTTCTTGGCCAAGCTCTGATCTTCATATTCTCCTGCCAATGTCCGCTTGGTTCCGGTGTTGAAGCTGTGTCTCCCCGGGAGGCACCGGGGGTGGATGATGGATCTTGTCTGTAGCAGCGGCTGTGCTCACATCTGAATTTCCTCCAACGAGAGGGGGTGAGGTGGGAAGGGGTCAGGGAAATCAGATGGGGGTCTCATTGGGAAGGAGGGTTCAATAGTAGTCCAGCCTTTGAATACTAAGCGGTAGTCCCTAGGTGGGCCCTGTCTTATCAAGTCTGCCTCGTCACCCCCCCATTCTACCCGAGCTATCCCTCCCTCCCGCTGATCCCCTAACCAGTCTATGCAGAATGTTGTGATTGCCTGCTTGATATCCTGCTCAGTCTGAAGGATGTCAAGTCGTGATTTAAGAGCTTGCCATTTACGCATCAGTTCAAGCTGGACGAGTTCCTTCACTTGCCCCGTTAACTCAGACCCCTCTATCTTCCCCCCTTCCATCACAAGGAGGCAGCGCTGCCACCAAACGGCCCAAGGGACTGACCTTCTTCCTAGACTGTACAGGTTGCTTGTGAAATTGGGGGAGGCGGCCATTGATGGGCAATGTCCTGTTCATATGGTCTGCCGGGACCAAGGCCAGTGAGTGTTTGGTACTATTTTGCGCCATATGCGGTCCCACCATCGCCAGGTAAACAGTGCCACTGGGCATTGCATGAAGATGTGTTCGATAGTCTCTTCCCGCTTTCGTGAGGGAAAGGCGCTTGTGCACCTTGGACACCATGGGAGTGCCTTCCCTTTTTGCTCCAGGTGGGGGTCGTCGATTAGCCAGGCGTTTGTCGGTGGGCAGCGATGTGCGATCTGCCATTGTAGGGATGTGACCTTGGCCGGTTTAGCTTTACCCTCTTGGAACCATTTGATCGGCATGAGAAGGGCTAGGTCGACGTTAAGGTGTCTGTCCCACCTGTCAATTATCCGGTCTCATTGAGGTCTTTCGGGTCGGAGCATCCTATACATGGATTTGAACGATAGGTTATGAAGCTAGACTGTGTTTCGGGGTGTAACTGTTGGTCCTGTGGCTGTCTGCCATTGCCAATTGAAGGGATCGATGGGCAGGTCATGGATGGGTGTCCGGGGTTGGAAGGAGACGGCCTCGTCGCCTTCTCCTATCACCCTTATTCTGGCCATCCCTGTTTTCTCCTGCCATACAAATGGGTCTCGGGATCCCTGAAGTGTGCCCCTTGGGCCCATCTTATAGTGTTCCACCCATAGTTGCGGTGTGACGCCCAACCTGATCGGAGTGGGATGTGGGCCTGGAAGTGCGAAAAGGGGTGTGCCAAGGATTTTTGGGGAAGTGGGGGAGTCTTAAGGGTATGAATGCAATTAGGCGGATGAGGGGTGCGCGCGCAAGGGTCTCACAGTCCGAAGGGGCCGGGACACTGTGGGCGACGGGTTACGGGAAAATCCCTCAATGGTGGAGATGGTACCGAAAAGTTAGGCCGTCGGGGGCCGCCACGTGGCGCAGGCCGCCGCGTACTTGGGTTGGGCCTTCGGAATTCCGGAGTTCTTTGTTCGCCGCTACGTTGGCAGTTCACGCAAAACGTATTGGGCCAATAGGGGGCTATGGCCGGCCACGGAACAACACTGAGTTGATGATACGGGAGAAGAAGGCGGAAAGGAGGGAAACACATGGTGATGACAACAAATCCCGGGTGGGTGAAGTAGTAGGTGTGGTCGGGAGAAGGGAAATYGGAGCACCGAGGGTCGCTAGAGGTGGCGCAGTGGAATTCCCGCGGACATAGCCGATTCTCCGTGTGACAGGGGTATCKCRTCCTTATGAGYTCGTTTATCATAKSGGTGAAATAGTCCGGGTCGTAGGATGAGTYTGAGCTCCAGGATCGCGTCATGGTATCATCGTCRATGGGATAGCTCTGGTCGGGGTATCATCACCGCRCACGAGCACGTGCAGGGCAGGCAGACTTAGTGACGCCTCAGYGTGCTCGTACGGGATGACGGTTCCGCCRCGAATCTTTTTGGGTGGGCGAGTCGTCGTACGAGAAGGCGTGTAAGGGCACGACTTGGATCGCGTTTACACGTGTTCTCGCGCGGCGTTCGCGGGGCCGGACCTCGGATCGTCTAATTGCTTCGGATTATGCAAGATGCAACCATATCACAACCGCCATCGCGAGATAAAAAAAAGACGAGAACAATATCGTTATCGGGGCCAGATTCTCATCCCAACTACAGTTGCATCAGGTGTGGGCAAAGATTCGACACAAACAAAAAGCAGGGACAGGGATTCTCAGTAGAAAGATAGACAAGTAGGCATAGCGTCCATACATCCATACATTCGACATTCATACACATAATGCAATCAGAACGGGCATCGCAAGGACAAGTGTGAGCAAAAACCCAAGCCCAGATTCCAGAATGCCGAAACGAAAATAAGAACGGGCAAAACCGTCCGGAGCTGCAATCAAAATGTATGTACACAGGTGACGAGGGGGAAGAGACAAAGAAACAGCAAATCCGCGTCCATCGACCTCAACTCTATCCTTCTCTCTCTCTCTCCGATGCGGACAGTCCGTCGTCGCGCACCAACCCACGAAGTTGTCACCCCGCTTGGTCCTCCCGCACCCGTCAGATTCCCCCGTGCCCACAGTCCGTCGTGGCCCACGTCAATCCCATGCGTTCGGCACCAGCCCGTTGGGTCGCCCAACTCCTACTCTACTCACCTCTTACTTCGCTCGTGTGCCGACCCTTCCTGATCGCGCAACCCCGAGCTTCCAACGACGGGTCGAGAGAGCTCACTAATCGCGCAGCCGAAATTTATAGCGTGCATGCATGCGCGAAGAACACGGAATTACCAAGACTTGGAGTGAGGATTAGAGAGGGAACGCTTGCGTTCTGCATGATCGGCCGCGGCGTGGAGGACGTAACCCTTCTCCACGCATCGATCCGAGCATGCAAGCCGCGACTTACAAAATTTCAGCAAAAGAAAGAGAGGGAGAGCGGGAGAGACGGAGTGCAAGAAGAGAGATATAGTTATAATGGTGCCTGCCCAAAATTACGGTTACACATACGATTAAGAGCACCCACTAATCAGAGTACCGTTGCAGCCGCATGAAGAAGCGCGTAAACAAAAGGCGCCGCGCGGCAGGAAAAATCCTAATTACTGAATTCCTAAATTCCTATCTAATGCGAAAAAGCAAAAAACACGAATTCCAGAAGGAAAGTCCGAAATTCCGAGAGCTATTGGGGGCTCGACAAAATTCGAAAAAGATTCAAGAGGAAATTCAAAAAAAAAACGAAGCAATTTCCCGCGCGATGTCCGCGCCCAAAAGATCGAAAACCGAACCAAAAGAAACGACGTCAACATTTATTAATAGCGCGCGCGCGTGGCGTCGAGCCAGACAACCATCCGACCAATCAATCAGCCGGCCGTCCCAAGACACACTCGACCCCGTGCCCGGCCATTCGAAAAAGAAACGACGAAAAAGGACGAAAAAGCGAGGACACTGATGCAATTCTCCACCGACGCCGATCTCCCGTAATTGGCCCAATCTTCCCAGCTTAGGACCCCTCATTGCAACTGCGCAGAAAATCGCGCGTTACAGAAAGTGGTTCGTCACATATGTGACGCCCAGGGGGTTCCAATATTAGCAAGCTCCTGCTTGCTTGTTGACACGTGTCGATTTCTCTAATTGATCGACATGCGGAGCAATTCTCTGTATGCCACTTACCGTTCGATTGTGTGTGGACGTCATCCAACGTGGCAACTCTGCTCTTCTACTAGTTCCTCAGATTGGGCTCTTCGACGATCCAAGGACGGGATCTTTCTCGTGCCGTCGCCGCGACACGCGTCCATTACCGTTGCATCAGTAATTAACCGGAAGGGGGAATGGAAGGCGATACGCGTATGAGGGAGGGCGGGGCGGCTCCATCGTAAGCTCGGGTATGAAGCGCCCGATCGCAGCGAGGTCGTAGGGAAGTTCTTGAAAACGGACAATGCGATGGAAGCGGGGGAATCTCTGGCCGCTGCGGGGAAGGGAGGCGAGGTAGTCTGGGTAAAGGGATACGAGGGTTCGGAGGACGTCTKTGCGGAACCGATCATGGTTCTCGCACGCGGGGAAGGTCCCCGTAACGATGTAGTAAACCTCTATATGGTTACGGCCTCGCCATGCGGCGCTAAGGAGTAGAACGTGGAGGGAGTAGTCAGGGACAGCAAACCGAACGAAAGGGTGGGGGTGGACAGTCACTTCTAGGCGGGCGGAGTAGAAATGTCGGAAGGTGGCGATGGGGAAGGGATTACGGGGGTAGGCCACTCGATGGAAATACTGATTGAAAGAGAGATAGCTAAGGGAATGGTGGTATATGGATCGGGGACGAAGGGCTAAGCCCCTCATTGACACGTTGACGAATTGGGGGACGGGCGGAGGCGGAGGGGGACGTGGATCGGGATCGGGATCAGCGCCTTGTCGTCGCGGCTCCCGAGGTTGTGGCATCAAGGTCTCCATGTTCCGGCTTGGGCGGCTCGGGATCCTTGAAAGGATCGTTCGGTGCGAGATCGATCGCCAACCACTTTCCTTCCGCGATCTCTTTCTTGCGCTGCGCAGCAGCATCCGGGTTCTCCTCTCGTCGATCCGGTCCTGGCACCCACTCGAGCTCGTCGTGTGTTGGCTCCTGGTCGTCCCCGCTTTCCACTTCTTCGTCGTCTTCGTCCTCCTCCTCACTTTGCTCGCCCTCGCTGTACTCGCTATAGGCCTCTTCCTCTTCCTCCGAAGTCTCCTCCTCTGCTTCTTCTTCTTCTTCTTCTTCTTCTTCTTCAGCTTCCGCCGACTCTTCTTCTGCTTCGCGCTCTTCTTCCTCGTCCTCGGCCAATCGGGCCGCTGCTTCCCCGGCCTCTCTCCTCAATTCTCCTTCCGATTCCTCTTCGGCCTCCTCTTCTGCTCTCAGCGCCGCCCACTCGAACGCCKTTGGTTGCCGAAAGAAGCGGGGATTAGTCAGGCTGTGGACGTCCAGGTACTCGCTACGGGAGGGAAAACGGCCATCCGCCCAGCGCTCCTCGATACAAGCCGACCACTGGAGGCTCGGGGCGAGAGTCCTTGAGAGGGTATGTGGCACGGGTTCTTCGTCGCTCTGAGAGACGATGTCGAGAGGGAGTTCGTCGGCCAATCGCGCGATCACGATCGTAAGTTCGCCCGCGATCTGTGATCGGTTTCCCCAATCCACTGCTCCAAAGACGAATCCTAAAAGATCTCCTGCCACGTTGGTCCTCCACGCCTGAATGACGAGCAACTCCACAATCTCCGACGCGGGCCTCTGATCGCCTTCCCACGTCCAATTCAAATCCACTCGTAGCAGGCAAAACGAGAGCTCGACAAATTTTGCACGCCACAGCCTCCAACGGTCCGGATCAACGATGGGTACAGTCAGTGGCTCCAGACGGAAGGAGAGACGAGGGTAGTGAGAGGACTGCCAGAAGATGGGGAAGAGAGAGGGAGGAGAGAACGTCGAGATCGGCGCTCGGCTCATCTGGGCGGCTGGAAGGGAGCAAGTTCTGGGAGGACGACAGGTGGCTCGCGTAGCGTCGTGCGCAGCGTGTTGACTTCGATGCCGTCGACAGGATAGCACTCGTCACCGTGCCTTGTGAGCCGTTGATCCCAATCAGTGGCCAAATCGCGACCCCACTGGTACAAGGCGCTTTTGATGGCGGCTTGCCGCGCTGGATCAAAGGCGGTGATGTTGTCGCTGAAGACTACCACGGTAGACACGTGGCTGATTCCCGAGGCCGCTCGCTGTTGGAACGCCGTTGCCTCGGCCAGTACCACTACCTGAGGATTGCTCGTGAATCGGAACTCTGCCGCGCCGTATACACCCGCAGTGCAAAAGAATTGCGCAAGGCGCATGAAGTCGGGGCTGATCCGCGGATGATGCACTTGGCGGATGGCTGAGATCTCTCCCCGTGGCATCAGCAACTGATCACTCAAAGCTCGCTCGATGGCGAAACTCATGGCGGGAGCAAGAAAGGGAGGGAGATGGCGGAGAGTCCGAGTCGTCGTCGTCAGCTTCCTCAAAAAGAGAGATAGAGGGAGAGGGAGACGGAGCAGAGGGAAGAGGCGAAGATGGGACACGTGGCGTGTGATCGGACGAGCCGATCGACTGCCAGAGACTTCAGGGGCGAGACGCACGGTGTCCACGCTGTTGGGGCCGAGCTCGATCACGCGATATCGCCCGAAGAATCGTGGCGCTAGCTTACCCTGGCGAGCACATTTCCTGACCTGCACCACGTCCCCCAATTTGTACTGGGGCCGCGGACCCGCATTCCCATTTCGGGCCTCGTAGCTCCGGACCTGTCGGCCCTGGGCTAGTTCGGTCATTTTCTGTCGCTTTCGGGCCTGGGCAGCGACCATTCCATTAACTCTAGGTGCCGTTTGGCCTTGTCCCGAGCCGTGGCCCTGGTGGGCCGTCGGTTCAATGTAGACTCGTCCGGGAGGCTTGGTGTCGAAATGCAAGCGACACTATTGGTCCTTAATTGGAAGGGGCTCAGCCCCATCGATTCGTGGGGCGTCCCGCGATGGACCGCCAGGATGTGATCGACGATATCGGGCCAGGGTCTCGGATCCCGTGCCGCGATGTTTCGTCGCAACGCTGTCTTTATCACCCGATCAGCGTTTTCGACCAGCCCATTGGATTGTGACATGTGGGGTGCAGTGTTCCGTATGGCGACGCCATGTAGGACCAGATTCCTTAACACTTCTCCCCTGAATTCAGCCCCGTTGTCGGTCAGGATTTCTTCCCTATCCTGATGCATCCCGAGGAAACGGTTGACATATCGTGCGATTTCTATGGCTTGCCGCGTGCGGCAAGGATACGCTTCGATCCATTTCGAGAAATGGTCGACAAATACCAATAGGACTGAATATTCGCAACTATTGGGGCCTCTATGTCGATAGTGTCCATGCTTACTCTCTGAAATGGTCGTTCAACAACCGTGGGCACTATCGACCTTGGTGGCTGAATCGTCGCTTTATCAGCGGCGCAGACTTGACAGGTGGCAACGATGTACTTCACATCGTCGCGGATATTGGACCAGTAACACTCATTTTTGTCGATAGCGGACTCCGTGATTCGTACAGCAAAGTGAGCCGCAGTTTCCTCGTGGGCTGTCTTAACCCAGTCATACCGCATGAACGGATGCGGCACCACCATCCAAATCCCACTGCCGTCCGTTTTCCGTTTTTCTAATCTGCCCTCTATCCATCGATAATCCCGAGCCCTTTCGTTGGCCCTCCTCCGATCTTCCTTGGTGAAATCCTGGAGGGGGTTACCTACTAGGGTGGCAATTAAGGCAATATCCGTCCATATTTCGGCCCTTCTAAACTTTCGGGTCTTGTCCAATCCTTCTGACGTGGCATCCAAAAAGCGAGCCTCGATCGGAATTTTGTCGGTCCGGCACAAGGGGCACAACCATGGTTTACTATCGTTCCTGTATTGGATGCATGAGCCATGGGCCCGTGCAACACACTGTCGGCAACCTATCCAATCCACATATCCCACCCCGTTAGGACGCATGGAGACCGAATAGACGCGGGAGATGGCTTCGCAAAAATAGCAAAATTTGTCAGGCAGGGAGTGGAGAGACGAGGAGGAAGGGGGAGAAAGAGGGGTAGTGGGGTTACCTCCATCATCCATCACCACCGTTTTGCTTCTTGCCAAGTGGGAGAACTGCCACTTGTCCGTACTTCGGCTCGTTGGTCAAGTCCGGCTCTTTCCACGGTGTAATTTCCTCGCCCTTTGGTACCTTGGCAGGTCGATGAAGACGTGCCAGCCCGTCCACGTTGTCGTGTCGCTCTGTCTTTCGATGGACGATATCGAAGTCGTATTCTTGTAGTCGCACCGCCCAACGGCCAATCATGCCCGTGTAGTTGGTGAGTTTCTTCAGCGCCAGCAGAGGCTCGTGATCCCTTACGAGGCGAAACTTCTGCCAGTAGAGATACGGATGAAAGTGTTGGATTCCCCAAACTACCGCATAACACTCACCCTGAGGTGCGGAGTCGTTTCTTCGTTCGTCCGGTACGGTTCGTGACGCGTACTCGATGACGTGTTCGCGACCATCGTTCCCCTTCTGGGCTAGAATAGCGGAAATAGCTTCCGGTTGCCAGTCCGTGATGAGAATGAACTCCTTCGAGGGGTCCGGTTTAATCAAAATAGGGGCCGTTGCCAGAGCGTCCTTGAGGGTTGCAAAGGCCTGCTCGCACTCCGCGTTCCAGCTGAGAGGCTGGTCCTCCCGTAACAGATTCGTTACTGGTCGTGCAATCGCGGCAAAGCCCTTGATGAAGCGACAGTAGTACGACGCCAGTCCCAAGAAGGCTCGAACCTGCGTCAGTGACGTGGGAACCGGAGCTTCCTTCACCGCCGCAACTTTTCTCGAATCTGGCCGCAATCCTCCACGTGTCACGACATAGCCCAAGAACGAAATTTCCGAGAGGAAAAATTCGCTCTTCTCAAGCGCAATCTTGAACCCAGCGTCTCTCAATGCACCCAATGTCCATTCGATGTGTTGCGCGTGCACGTGATAGGTTTCCGAATAGACCAGGATGTCGTCCATGTACACGATCACGCAGAAGTTAATCATTCCTTGCGTCAACCGTGTCTTGTTGACGAAGTTCTGGAACGTCATGTTCATCGCTCGCTGAAACGTGGCAAGCGCATTGCAAATCCCCATCGGACACCGAACCCACTGCCACGTGCCCTCAAACAACACAAAGGCCGTTTTCGGCCGATCTTCTTCCCTTACCAGAATATGATGGAAGCCATGCCGAATATCAAACTTGTTGAAATAATTAGCGCATCCAATCGCATCCAACAGATCATCAATCCGGGGGAGGGGATACACATCTTTGATCGTGATTTCATTCAGCTTGCGATAATCAATGCAAATGCGAATCACCCCGTTCTTCTTCGGTACTAATACCACAGGAAAGGACCAAGGTCCGATAGCGGGTTCAATCCAACCACTGGCTTCGAACTCCAGAATTCGTTCGAGAGCCTTTTTGCGTTCAATCAAGAAATAGCGATAAGGTTTGCAATGAATCGGGGAGTGATTTCCTGTCTGAATTTCATGTTGGATTACTAACGACAACCCAATGTCAGTGTCTGACACACTAATCGCTCCTTGATATTCCGTTAGAATATCTGCAATTACCCGGTGGATTTCATCCGGCACATATTGTGGAACGTGCAGTTCAAAAAGTTGGTCCCAGATCCGAACGTCAATCTGTTTCGTGTTCGCCTGTTTTGTCGAGTCGGGTGGAGGCGTCGAGATGAATGAATGATCCGATCGCCAGGAGAACACCGTGGCCATCATCTGAGCATCTTCTTCTCGGATTGTCACGTGTCCTTCCGGGGTAATCCCGTCACAAACATCCTGCCATGGCACTTCCTTAGTTGCGATCTTTATCCCCAGTCCGTCTGTTTCTGCTTCAAAATGCCCAGGGGGTTCCAGAGAGCTTGCTTCCGCCCCCAAGCGTAACAATCTCACTTCTTTAGTCGAGGTTAATAAGGACTTGAGTAGATCCGTAATGTCACAGTGATGCTTCTTATCGCTGTACCGGGCGAGGAGTGGGGTAGTGGAGTGATCCCTTCGTACAGAGTTTGAGGGGGTTCCAAAGAATCGACCATCTTCGAAATCTGCACGAGGGGCTCACCCAAGATCATCACCATGGTCCTTTGAATTCTTCGGCTGGTCAGTTGCATCGTTCTCGCTATCGTTTTGGGTGGCGGGTAACAAACACGTTGTCGTGCCAATTTCAAGATCTCCGGATCATCCTCGCCACTGCTTTCCACATCACCTGTTGCTGACTTCTCTTCTGTGGATTTCTCCCACGAGATCATGCGGAGAGTCCCGACCATCATCGGTGAAACCCGCGGAACGGTGTTAATAGTAGTGCGAAAGGTTAATCGCATGGGCACATCGTAGGGTTTTCCTCCTGTATTCGGAGGATGATCGATCGTCGTTCGAAGTCCAGGTTTGCTCGTAATGCCACAAGAGCGGGAAGTCCGAAGAGAACGTCGTACGTATTGACATCTAGTACTACGACATCCCCAAGCGCATGCACTTTACCCAATCGGAAGGCGACATTGGTTATTCTTCCCACTGTTTTAATTCTTTCTTCGTCAGCCGAAACGAGCTGATCTTTCTCAGAAAGCGTGATCAGGTCGTTTTTCCTACTTGCCGTTTCGACCACTCTCAGTGAGATAGCCAACACAGCTGCTCCCGAGTCTATAATGGCGTTGTAAGGAATTCCCCAAATTTCTATATCGCACTCAGCGGATTTCCACGGAATTGGTTTAATCCGCAGGAAATGATCATCTTTCTGGATTAAACCTACCCGTATCGGATCCGAAGTACTTGCGGGGTTTTCTTCGGGCGCGGGGCTTTTGGCTTTTGCGTTCGGGGTTCGGGCAAGGGCGAATCGCTTTCGGTTCGCTTTGCAATTCTGTATCATTCACTCGTTGGCTTGCTCGGAGATCGAGAGTAGATGACCAATCGGAAGGGGAATCCGATGGTCCAAAGCTCGGATGATGTTTAATACATCGATCTCCCCTGTGACGAAGGTGGGTCCTCCCGACTCCATTTCTCCTAGGGACGATCGCCACTCCGCCACCTCTTTTGGCTTTGGCGCTGGTCTGATTGTCCCGATCATTCCAAGCCCATGATATCCCAGCGACACATACTGATCTAGCGGAATTAGCTCAACGGCCTCTTCCGTAGTGGCCAGGGCACTTCCCCCACCCTCTACCTCTTCCATCAAGGCTCCAACTCGTCCAGGTCCGTTGGCGATGGGGGCCGCAACCATAGGGGCGACTCCGATCCGTTGTTGTGGGGGTCGGTGGGGGCAATCACGGGCTAGATGTCCGGGCTGATGACAGGCGTAGCAAACATTCAGATTGTTCGCAGTTCCCTCGAGAGCAGGGGCCGGGGCTAATCCTTGCTGCATCGGAGGGGCACGCACCGCAATGGGTCGCATGTTCCTCATCATGGCTTCCAGCCGAGCATTGTGCTCTCGCTGCTCCTTTTTGCTTTCTTGGATCAAACTAATTAAGGTTTTGGTTAGTTCGAAAATGGCCACCGATTCGTTTGATCGTACAGGAGCCTCAACCGGCGGCGGGGGTAATGCCCTGACGGACGGGGGCATCATAGGAGCAGAGATGCTTGGAGTCTCACTCAGGATAAATCGTTTGGGGCCTATCTGTTCCATATAGGTAACAGGTCCTGATACAAACCCCATGTTCTCAAATTTGTTCTGTAAAGCAGCCAGCTCTGCTCTTGCTCGAGCGAGCTCGGTCGAATCTCCGTCTCTAGGGTAATCTTCTCCTTCCAGGAAGTTCGCCGCGAATTTCTGTTCCATTTCTTCCGCAGCAGCCATTATTTGTTGTAGAGTACGGGTGACGGGGGAAAACTGCTTTCGCAACTTAGCCCTTATTGTCCGGCTGCTGAAGTCCGTCAATGAACAGATCTCTCCCTACTTGCTCACCTCGCTCAGTCTTTACGAACATTCTGTAGAACCAGTTTCGATATTCCGCGAGGGATTCGAGCGGCTTCTGCACTCGGTCCTTGATCATGTACAGCGCTTGCTCAGGGTGGACATAATCAAGTCGGTTCATGAAATCTCGTTCGAAGGTCGGGAGGTCCACCCACACATAGGTACTATACTAGTGATGAGCGTCTCCTCCCATTCGAGCCGGAATGTTGATCTGTGCTTCGTGATCGTCGTACTGTTGTGTTCTAAGCGTGGCCAGCTCCTGCGAGATGGTGCGCTGGATCAAACAGATAGAGATCTGGTGGCGACATGGGAGCTCGTGCACGTGGGGCGGGTTGATTAGGTGGATTAGCATTTTGTTGCGGAACCGGATTCTGCACATTGGCAGCCATATTGGCTGCCCGTCGGTTAGCCGATCTGCTTCTGGTGACGATAGGGTCGCGTCTATGCGCGTTCCGGGGGCAAGGTCGCCCACGGTTAGCCAGGTCGCCTAATTAACGTGCTATCAATCCTAAGACCCTAGCCACGTGTCGGGCTCCGATACCAACCTCACGCCCTGCGCGACTACTTGATCGGAGTGGGATGTGGGCCTGGAAGTGCGAAAAGGGGTGTGCCAAGGATTTTTGGGGAAGTGGGGGAGTCTTAAGGGTATAAATGCAATTAGGTGGATGAGGGGTGCGTGCGCAAGGGTCTCACAGTCCGAAGGGGCCGGGACACTGTGGGCGACTGGTTACGGGAAAATCCCTCAATGGTGGAGATGGTACCGAAAAGTTAGGCCGTCGGGGGCCGCCACGTGGCGCAGGCCGCCGCGTACTTGGGTTGGGCCTTCGGAATTCCGGAGTTCTCTGTTCGCCGCTACGTCGGCAGTTCACGCGAAACGTATTGGGCCAATAGGGGGCTATGGCCGGCCACGGAACAACACTGAGTTGAYGATACGGGAGAAGAAGGCGGAAAGGAGGGAAACACATGGTGATGACAACAAATCCCGGGTGGGTGAAGTAGTAGGTGTGGTCGGGAGAAGGGAAATTGGAGCACCGAGGGTCGCTAGAGGTGGCGCAGTGGAATTCCCGCGGACATAGCCGATTCTCCGTGTGACAGGGGTATCKCRTCCTTATGAGYTCGTTTATCATAKSGGTGAAATAGTCCGGGTCGTAGGATGAGTYTGAGCTCCAGGATCGCGTCATGGTATCATCGTCRATGGGATAGCTCTGGTCGGGGTATCATCACCGCRCACGAGCACGTGCAGGGCAGGCAGACTTAGTGACGCCTCAGYGTGCTCGTACGGGATGACGGTTCCGCCRCGAATCTTTTTGGGTGGGCGAGTCGTCGTACGAGAAGGCGTGTAAGGGCACGACTTGGATCGCGTTTACACGTGTTCTCGCGCGGCGTTCGCGGGGCCGGACCTCGGATCGTCTAATTGCTTCGGATTATGCAAGATGCAACCATATCACAACCGCCATCGCGAGATAAAAAAAAGACGAGAACAATATCGTTATCGGGGCCAGATTCTCATCCCAACTACAGTTGCATCAGGTGTGGGCAAAGATTCGACACAAACAAAAAGCAGGGACAGGGATTCTCAGTAGAAAGATAGACAAGTAGGCATAGCGTCCATACATCCATACATTCGACATTCATACACATAATGCAATCAGAACGGGCATCGCAAGGACAAGTGTGAGCAAAAACCCAAGCCCAGATTCCAGAATGCCGAAACGAAAATAAGAACGGGCAAAACCGTCCGGAGCTGCAATCAAAATGTATGTACACAGGTGACGAGGGGGAAGAGACAAAGAAACAGCAAATCCGCGTCCATCGACCTCAACTCTATCCTTCTCTCTCTCTCTCCGATGCGGACAGTCCGTCGTCGCGCACCAACCCACGAAGTTGTCACCCCGCTTGGTCCTCCCGCACCCGTCAGATTCCCCCGTGCCCACAGTCTGTCGTGGCCCACGTCAATCCCGTGCGTTCGGCACCAGCCCGTCGGGTCGCCCAACTCCTACTCTACTCACCTCTTACTTCGCTCGTGTGCCGACCCTTCCTGATCGTGCAACCCCGAGCTTCCAACGATGGGTCAAGAGAGCTGACTAATCGCGCAGCCGAAATTTATAGCGTGCATGCATGCGCGAAGAACACGGAATAACCAGGAGTTGGAGTGAGGATTAGAGAGGGAACGCCTGCGTTCTGCATGATCGACCGTGGCGTGGGGGACGTAACCCTTCTCCACGCATCGATCCTAGCATGCAAGCCGCGGCTTACAAAATTTCAGGAGAAGAAAGAGAGGGAGGGCGGGAGAGACGGAGTGCAAGAAGAGAGATACAGTTACAATGCCGCTTGCCCAAAATTACAGGTACACATACGATTAAGAGCGCCCACTAATCAGAGTACCGTTGCAGCCGCATAAAGAAGCGCGTAAACAAAAGGCGCCGCGCGGCAGGAAAAATCCTAATTACTGAATTCCTAAATTCCTATCTAATGCGAAAAAGCAAAAACCACGAATTCCAGAAGGAAAGTCCGAAATTCCGAGAGCTATTGGGGGCTCGACAAAATTCGAAAAAGATTCAAGAGGAAATTCAAAAAAAGAACGAAGCAATTTCCCGCGCGATGTCCACGCCCAAAAGATCGAAAACCGAACCAAAAGAAACGACGTCATTATTTGTTAATCGCGCGCGCGCGTGGCATCGCGCTAGACAACGATCCGACCAATCAATCAGTTGGCCGTCCCAAGACACACCCGACCCTGTGCCCGGCCATTCGGAAAAGAAACGACGAAAAAGGACGAAAAAGCGAGGACACTGATGCAATTCTCCACCGACCCCGATTTCCGTAATTGGCCCAATCTTCCCAGCTTAGGACCCCTCATTGCAACTGCGCAAAAAATCACGCGTTACCGAAAGTGGTTCGTCACAGCGGCGCACCAGTGCACAGTGCGGTGCGGGGAGGTGTGCACTGCGCTGTGCGTTGGAACGACAGCGCACGCACTGTGCGTCGTGCGCTGTGCGCAGTACGCAGTGCTGTCCGCTGTGTGCGGTGCGCGCGTTGAGGGAGTTGCGCCCTGTGTGTGGGAAAAAAAAAAAAAAAAAAA